TTGATCCTCCATTGCGGCCCCGCCCTACCCCCAGGGGTCATGATTGAACAAATTTGAATCTACACTACCTGAGGATGCTTCTATATAAGTATGACTCATTATGGCTTTGCTGTTCTTGAGAAGAAGATTTTTAAAGGTTTTTCCTATATATATTTCTTATGTAAAACTTTGATCCTCCATTGTGGCCCCACCCTACCCCCGGGGGTCATTATTTGAACAAACTTGAATCTACACTACCTGAGGATGCTTCCACATGAGTTTCATCTTTCTAGGCCCTGTGGTTCTTGAGAAGAAGATTTTTAAAAGATGCTATTAATTTTTCACTAATTCTTTATTATCTCCCCTTGAAAAAGGGCATGGCCCTTCATTTTAACAAACTTGAATCCCCTTCACCTAAGGATACTTTGTGGCAAGTTTGGTTGAAATTGGCCCAGTGGTTCTTGAGAAGAAGTCGAAAATGTTAAAAGTTTACAGACAGACAGACAGACAGACAGACAGACGGACAGACAGACAGACAGACGGACGCCGGACAAAAAGTGATCAGAAAAGCTCACTTGAGCCTTCGGCTCAGGTGAGCTAATAAAAAGACAGGCATCTATTTTACAAGTACACTCTGTGGGGTGATGATCTCAAATGCCACAAGGAGGAAATTTATATGGATAAATTTATTTTAAATTAAAATTAAACAATAATTTCATACTGAAAATATTGTGTGAAATATATTTTGAAATATGATTGCAAGATGATGTGTTGGTCATCTTACATAATTATATATGTAGGCCTTAAATTGTAAACACCAGTCTATGCTAACTGTAATAAGTTGTTGTGAAAACACCTGTCTGGTTATATATTGTAATAGATATAAAAGATAATTAAACAAATTAAAAGCACATGTTTTAACATCCTTTGATGGAAAATGAATTATCAAAACAGTCATATTATTTACAACACCTTCATTTCGAAGTCACGATAATTGCCACCTGCTGAAATGTTTGAAGCTCTTTATACAATTTATCTTCCCAAGTCCAGGGTTTCTGATCCCCTCCCCTCCACATAAACCCTTGACTGAATAGACCAAGTTTGACGGGGTTAGAAATGTATTCTCTGATTGGCCTCATAAAAGTTTGCATGAGCCAATCAAATACATTGTTTTATCTAACCTGAAACTAAATTGTAAACAGAAAAACATGCAAGTTTTAATGAAAAGTCTTTACCATTAAATAACCAAGTTAAAGGTTTGTTTCAACTTTGGAGTAAAAGTTACGCTGAATTTATTAGCAACTACCAGTACTGTCTCCCAATCTCCATTTAATTCGCTTACTCTGATTGGTCAATAGCAGGCGCCAATAGAGTTCAAAATGTGTTATCTCACTAGATGGCGTGATAGTAAACCCCTTCAAAGAAAGTCAGTCCATCTGGTCAAGGGTTTATGTGGAGTGGAGTGGTTCAGAAACCCTGGATTTGGGAAGATGTATACATATGATTTTGTGTTGCTGTTTTATGTCTGAATTTATTCTTTTTTTTTCTTAGTTTATTTACGTAATACATGCAAGTTCTTTTTTTGGTAATGAAACCCTACTGTGGTCTTGTATTTTTGATTCTTTGATAGCTATTTCTGGTATGTTTATATTTAAGTTCGGAAGTCATTGTGCATATGATGTTAGCATACCACGTGACTACCACACTAACTCGAAAGTTGTCAATCACTAGTCAAAATTGGACACTAATTTAAATTATGCAAAATCAAGGCAAATGGTCAGTGTTTCAATTAAAATCAATACATAATCAGTCATATGTCAAATTTTTAAAATTATGAAAGAATTACCTCTTTAAATATAATAAAAACATAAATAAATATATTACTCTTATTACATGAATTGGTTCAATCATTAATATGATTAACTGGGAAAATTTTGGAAAATAAATATCTCTTTCATATTTGGAATTGGGCTTAATAGCATGATAAAATTAGAGCTCAAACGAATACCAAAAATCAATATTTGAATATTTGGGACTACTATTCAATTTGTATTCGAATATTCATCGACGTTATATTTAAAGTATATCTTTCTGAAATGTTATAATACCTACACCATTTGCAGACCAAAGAAAATTTGTATACGTATATATAATAATAATTTTTTTATATATATAGTTACTTGACGTTAAACTACCCATTGCTAAACTTCACCTCAAAGAAAATGGAAAACAGACGATATTTTTTCGGTGGTGCGGATCACAACCTATTTACAGTATAGATATTATTTTATCACGCAAGTTAGGTTGGCAGGAAAATGTGTAAATTTACATACTGAAATAGGAAACTATCTTTACATGCTAAAATTTATAAAAATCTATGCATGGAAAACACAGAAAAATCAGTTTGATTATAAGAATGACACATGCTGTGAAAAAGTTGGAAGTGTGAAAGTCCACCTGTGTCATCGGGGTATTCACATTGCACATTACTGAGCATGCTTATAACATTTTAAGAGGTCAGTCTGTAAATAAACATGTTTCAAAAAAATTAAAGCCAGTAATTAGTTTTTAGGATTATTTCTTTTTACAAGAAAACATATTTATGATTTAGTGACACCCGCGATAGAAAACGCATGGAAATGGCGGGGCCATGCAAACGATCGGTGATGAAATTGGTAGGCGTGAATTACACTCAATATGAAAATAAAATATATTGAGCGTATATATATTCAAAAGGATTTACACTGAAAAAAATTATGTGCATTCTTTGTTTAAATTTCTAATCATATTTCCGGTACTTTCTAATACTAATAAAATCCCGAGAGGTAGTCTACAGTTCACGTGGAGCATCGAAAAGATAAAGTAGTGCTAAATCCTTATTAATACTACAAGTTTTTATCGTTAAACTTAAAGTACCAATATAAGGCCAAAATTAAAAATATGTTTGTTTGCCATTTACCGACCCAGATTTTTAGCAATGGGTAGGTAGGTAGGAAAAATATTTTGTTTTTTTCTTCTTGACTTCAAATCAAATTACTTTATAATAAAAAAACTCAAAATGTTCATGTACATATTCTTTGTTATTGGAACTTATGTTTCATGAAATAAAATGTATTATTTCAAAAAAATCTGGTGTAATCTATGTCTTTGCATGTCAATCCTGCACCTGCTTAAAGCTCAATTTATGTAGTGTATGCGCCTTCTGATTTTTAGCCACCCTCTGTAGTACGCTATTAAGTTTATAAAAGAACTTCATGACTGGGTTCGAGGGCAAAATGCGTTTTGTCGGACCCAAGAACCAAACTAACGGCCTCAGGCAAACAGTTTGGTTCGAGGGGTCATTCTCTCTGATTTCTTTTCCTGTTCGTCTATATTGTCTAATCCAACAATCTCGTCTCTCTCTACTTTAAAACGTATATATATTTTAAGAGATTGTTTTTCACAGTATGCAACAGCTCTTGCAAGTCTGGCTGGAAGATATTTGGACTTTTAAGTTTTTCTGATAAACTGACGGTAACTTTGTCCGTTTTGTGCACGTGGAAGTCGGAGCATTCATCAACAAGATCAAAATATATCTCTTCATACGTTGTTTCATCATAATACTCTACCAGTCTATTAGTACAAATCTGTTTTGATATGCCTGCGCATGTTACGCTGATAGAAGCACATACTGTGAAACAATCATCATCCAAAGTAGCCTGAAACTGAAGGTAGACAATTTCCTTTTTACTGCCATGCTGTCAAACTTTGATTCGGTTCCTAATCTAAATCATCAACACGCTTAATACCATTAAGGAAAAGGAAAATCAAAGCGTCTGAATGACCTCGCACACACTTTTATGAAAAAACAAAAATGGATGAAAATGGATAAGAAACAATTCGAATAAAAAAATATATAAATTAAAAGTGGTATAAAATATTTTGAGTCGGGCTAATTTTCGTGGGTCAGTCGGCTGAGGGCAAACAAACAATATTTTAATTTAGGCCTAATTTAATCAACAAAGTAAACATTGAAGTATAAATCATGTACCGAATATTCGAATGCTTAATTTCCATTCAAGTTTTTGCCATTTACTATTCATTTGTGAATATTCAAACATTCGTTTCAGCTATATATGAAATCATACAGTTCTGCACGATTTTATGAGTTGCAAATGTTAATTTTTATACAAGACCTTTTCTAGGACTTCAAAGAACTTTGAATCATAGAGAGATGCAGGAAATGAAAATTGTTGCATGAAAAGAACTAAATTTCAAGCTTCATTTTGATACTTACTCAATTAAACAATAACTTTACGAGTTACTATTCCTGGCTAAGGAGTGGATATCCTTAAGTTTCATCTTTTCTGACTCACTGGATTGATCTGTAAATGATCCCACCTTATTTTTGCCTTTTCTTGATTACCTCCCCTTGAAGGGGCATGGCCCTTCATTTGAATAAACTTTTATCCCCTTCACGCAAAGATACTCTGTAACAAGTTTGGTTGAAATTAGTCCACTGGTTCTGGAGAAGAACAGTTTACAAAAACAGAAGATAAAGGACAAATTTTAATCAGAAAAAAGCTCACTTCAGCTTTCATCTCAAGTGAGCTTAAAAGTTAAAAGTTATTTTTTTTTTTTATCAATAATTCAATATATCATTATTCTTTTATGACCTGATGTATTGATATTAAATGTTTCATTAATGACAGCTGAAAAAAAGTTTTTTTTGTATTCCTAGAAGAACGGTTTTGTGGGGATAGAAATGTGCACTGCACTTTGTTATACCTTTATATGTCTCCACAAAAAATCTACTGACCTCCAGCATTAGTTCTTTATCAAACATTGACATGTGAGCAATTTGTTTTATGTTTGCAATGCAATATCAATCAAGATGAAAAAAAATCACAGTAAATTTCGACAGTTCTTTGCAATAATAATTGCTGAGGCCGACATTTTTACCTGCAGTGATAGATTAACATAACACAATATTGATACCTTTTGAAAAAATAATGGGTTTTGTTTTGTTTACATTTACTTACAGTGCAGGAGCGGATCTCATTTTTGTCCAATACAATACGATGACTCTCCCATCGCCGAAGATATTTAGAGTTCATTATTTTACTGACAATAGTTCTGGTGTGATTAAGACGACAAATCTGTATATCCCCTTCATGTATGAGTTTAAAACGGGGCCCCTGGAACGGTCGGGCAGAAGTAGATGACAGTTTAAGACTATTTAAGCTTGTACCACTATCATTCCGTATGAACGGCGCTGGTAAAGGCGGTGTCTCCACTGTCAACTCATCACCAGAATCCTGTAAATAACCATTAATTTGTTCGTTAGTTATAAATGGATCTGAAGAGCTGCTATCTTCACAAACGTCCTCGATCGTCGCCATGTTGCAGTAACGATCGGCTCTCGTCTCTTCACTTTGACGTTTTACGCCAACCTCAGAAAACACTACACCTGTTCTACAATAATTATAAATACACGCCAGTTTGATTCCTTATGCACTTAATCAAACACCATAGAATCTGGAAAGCTATTAAATCCTATTCTTTTGTAAATGGTATTGATGAAAAATAATCGAGGATTCCATTAAAAATGGCAAACATAGTCACGTGACTTTTTCCAAGGAGCTCTTCCGGAAGAGTCAGTGACGCGTTGCGACGTCATCATATTCTCCATCAATATACAAACCTTCATCACAAAACATCGGAATCGTTGCTGTTTTACAAATAAATTTAATGTATATTATAATTATATAATGAAATTAGAAATAAAATGAAATAGGTTTGGATATTTTTTAGGGACTTTTTTTTATTTTACTTTTAGCTGCATTTTTTTAACATATAAAATGAAATAGAAGTACCGCCTTGTAAACATGGAATATATGCTAATGATTTTTTTTCATAGAGTTAAGCTACGACAAATTATAACAAACGAATCTGCCTCTAGAAGCAATATAGAATTTCAACATCTTCACTTTTTTTTTTTTTAGTAAAAATCTAATACAATTTTTTTTCTTACGGTTATTGATCAGTCATAAAAGAACAAAATAAAACTTTGATAAAATATATGTTCACTTAAGAATATGTGAGATTTAATAATATTTCTCTTATGAAAAGTCTTCTTTGTTGACAATAGTAATATACAATTTGTCGATCCTACTATGATTAGAATTTGTACATTAAAGTAAGATATTTTTCCAATGCAAATTTGTCAAGGTTTCAAAATAAATATGTTATATATTTATCATATTTCAAATGAATAGTTTCCTTAACAAAACATTAAAATAAGTCTTACCCAGTGACACAAGATTTCTGCGGAAGCGTATGAATTTGTGCCACGTAATATATTTCTTTTAATATTGGTAATTCCAACTTTAAAGTTGGCTTTAATTCCAACTTTGAAGTTGGTAACTCTAACTTTAACCTTGGTTTTCCAAAAGTTCAATCTTGGCTTGTTTTTTATTTTTTCCTTTGCTTTTTCCTTATTTAATATCATTATCAAGTTTATTAATGAAAATCTAATTATATTAAATTTCCCTATGACCTTACATATAATTTTTGGAACATTACGTACATCGCATATAATTTTATAACTTCATACAACTTCGAGAATGAGAGACTATATATTTCAATAACACCTACATGTATATAAGAGAACATGTACATAAAATAATTTTTAGAGAATGTTTATAAAACATTTGAGACCATATTAATTCGGTGTTTGATACATGGGATAAAGCAACACTATTTTTCATGCTATGCACAAAGACAACTGTACCAAATATATCAATTCTGTATACGAATATGGCGTGTAAAACGTTGCTTTATTCGATAATCTTGTGATGTATATATATTCAAAATCTTGTGATGTATATTCAAAATCTTGTGATGTATATTCAATATCTTGTGATGTATATTCAAAATCTTGTGATGTATGTTCTATAATCTTGTGATGTATGTGCAAAATCTTGTTATGTATATTCAAAATCTTGTGATGTATGTTCTATAATCTTGTGATGTATGTGCAATATCTTGTGATGTATATTCAAAATCTTGTGATGTATGTTTATAATCTTGTGATGTATGTGCAAAATCTTGTTATGTATATTCAAAATCTTGTGATGTATGTTCTATAATCTTGTGATGTATATTCAAAATCTTGTGATGTATATTTATTCCTTTTTTCAGCATAATTTCAGAATTAAATCCTTTCCTTTCATTGTAATTATTAAAAATCAACATAAGTCTTCAGCTACAATTAAGGTATACGAATAAAACGCAAAAAGCCAACTTTCAAGTTGAAAAAGCCAACTTTAAAATTAGAATTACCATCTTTAAATTAAAAATACGTGACACTTATTCTCTTACGTAGCTTTCATTAATATGATTTTTTTTTTAAAGTTCAAGTTTACGACTAGCTAATGAATACCAAGATGTTTTATTATGTGATGGGTATGAGCTCGGATAGCTCAGTTGGTAGAGAACCTGTATAGTGTTGCAGGGGTCCCGGGTTTGATTTCCGATCCAGTCGTACTTTTTTTTTTTTAATTTCCTGTTACATATTTGGTGCCAACTTGCAGGTGAAAGTCATACCAGGGGCAAAAAGAACTTGGGTTGTATCTTCGAGGGTGAAGACAATATAAAAAGGGAGGAATGTGGTGGATTGGGCCGTGAATATCGGTCTGGATGGCTCAGTTGGTAGAGAACCTGTCTAGTGATTCAGGGGCTTCGGGTTGTATTCCCGGTCCAGCCATACATTTTCTCCTTTCTTGTTACAATAACGATCAAATTGTTTATTAAATAAATAAGCATTTTCAAAAGTTAAAATTCTTTCCGATAATCTAGAAAGATCTTCAAGGCATATATATTCTCAGTGCACGTATTTTAAACTGTGACTCTACGATGGATGTTTGAAGAATTTCGTCTATATTGAAAACACATTCTGCTATAGATATTATGACGCACAATTTTACAAAAGTGAGTGAAACATTGTTAATATTTGATAAAGAAGGCTTTATCAGTTGTAAAATTTATTTTTCGAAGCGGTGCAGGGTTCGCAATTCTTCGCAATTGATAAATATCGTCTGTAGTTTGGCATACTTTATAGTAGTCCAAAGTTATGAGAAAGCTGGTACATGTAGATTGATTTAATTCAATCAGTATTTTATTATGTAAAGTCAAATCACATAATTGGATTGGACATCAGACATACATGTAGCCTATATAAGTCCTCTCCAAGGAGGTAAAGGTTACAAAGGAATTGACAATAATCATATATAATGGTTTACTATTAATGATGAAATTGTTTATAATAAATTATACTAATTTCTAATGTAAACTAGAAAAAGAATGAAAAAGATAAATTGTACACAAGAGTTATTACCTAGCATATATTCTAAGTATACAATATAATGAAAAGGAAATAAAAGAGTGCAACAAACAACAAAATTGAATAAGTAAATAAAAAAGTGCAAGAGACAAATATGCATGGAAATATACAAAATTAATAAAAATGATAAAAAAAAAAAACATTCATATACATTGGAGATTTGAAGTAAGATTTGAAGTAAGTATATACATTGGAGATTTGAAGTAAGTATAAATATCAAAATATTAAGAAATTTAATAAAACTTTAAATCGAAATAATATTGTTACATATAGATGTTGTTCATAATAAACTAAATTTAACATTAAGCAATGTTTAGCTGCTCTGGAAGAAATATGGAGTTTACACACAGAGTTTAAACAACAAGCATCCTGAGAGTATTGCATTAGCAATACTAGTCCCCTACCGGCAAGTGTAATCTGGTTCCCGTTAAGAATTGAAAATGCCATAATTCCGTCAAAAATCAATGAAGCGGGACGAAATGCAAACTTGATCTATAACTAATCAAGGTAAAGTCACATACCAAAAATCAGCTCAATATCTGCAAGCATTTAAGAAACAAGTGCGGAAAACCAAGTGGGACAGACTGACAGACAGACAGAGGGACAGACAGACAGACAGACGAACGGACGGACAGACTCAGAGGAAACCTATAGTCCCCTCCGGTTTCACCGGTAGGGGACTAATAATAACAGCATTCTTTAAATTTAGTGTAGAGTTTTTAACCACATGCAGTTTACTAATCGTTTACCTATATTAATTAAACAAACATAGCCCTTGCACCTGGCATCATAGTTTTATAACAATTTCTTTGAATTCATTATAACAAATTTAATCTGTTATAACAAATTTGTTGAATTCGTTATAACAAATTCAAAAATTTGTTATAACGAATTAAAATCGTTGTAACGAATTCTGAAACTTGTTATAACGAATTAAATTCGTAAAAGCGAATTCTTTAATTTGTTATAACGAAATAAATTCGTTAAAACGAATTCGAAAATCGTTATATCTAATTAGTCCCCTATCGGTGAAACCGGAGGGGACTATAGGTTTCCTCTGAGTCTGTCCGTCTGTCTGTCTGTCCCTCTGTCTGTCTGTCAGTCTGTCCCACTTGGTTTTCCGCACTTTTTTCGTAAATGCTTGCAGATATTGAGCTGATTTTTTTGGTATTTGAGTGTATCTTGATGAGTTACAGATCAAGTTTGCATTTCTTTCCGCTTCATTGATTTTTGACGGAATTACGGCCTTTTCAATTTTAAAGGGTTTTCGCAATTTTTTTCTAAACGCTTTCAGATATTGAGCTGATTTTTATATGTGACTTTACCTTGATTAGTTTTAGATCAAGTTTGCATTTCGTCCCGCTTCATTGATTTTTGACGGAATTGTGGCATTTTCAATTCTTAATGGAAACCAGATTACACTTGCCGGTAGGGGACTAGTATTGCTTATGCAATACTCTCAGAATGCTTGTTCCTATATATTTTTGTACAGGCCCTGATTGTTGAATTTTATAAAAAAGAATTTAAACCGTTTAAACAAATTTTAGAGTTTGTTTAAAGGAATTAAATTTGTTATAACAAATTTTATAATTCGTTTAAACGAATTTAATTCTTTATAAAAAAAAAAATTGAATTCGTTACATCGAATTCAATAAATTTGTTATAACAGATTAAATTCATTATAATGAATTCAAAGAAATTGTTATAACGAATTAAATTCGTTATAACAATTTCGACAATTCGTTATATCGAATTTGAAAATATTTTTTGATAGGTCCTAAATGGGCTTCCGTAGAGTAGGTTTCTGATTAAATGGAATATTCAAAGTATGTTTGCGTAAATTCATTAAATTCATGGCCGTAGGAACCGGGGGGGGGGGGGGGGGCGTGCCCCCAGTAATTTTGCCGATATATAGATTACTATAGAAAACATAGTTACGATATGATATGCTTGTGTCCCCTCAATAAAAACGTCTGATGACCTTTTTTTTTTTTTTTTTTGTCAAGGAATTTTTGGTAGTTGATAGTGTCCCCCAACTGAAAATGTATGCCCCCCCCCCCCACTGAAATTCCTTCCTACGGGCCTGTAACTGTCGTTTATATATTTAGATGTTACGGATTTAAAAGATGATAATTTTCTTTGTTTTCCACAATTGTAAAACTTCAAATAGAAATAGTATAAAAGCCATTTTTTTTGGCAGAAAGGATATGAAAATGTTCCTCCTT